CTAACCATCATCAGTACCATTATCATTATCATCATCATTATTGTTCACATTTCTATCATTCTTAATCACCAATAATGACACAATAATGAAGTCTTTCAAATCAAAGTTCCCGCAAAATTATTCCAGATTCATTAGAAATTAAAACATTATCATTTCGCACAAGACAAGCGCTCACATTTTCTAAGAGTTTGAGAGGGCGGTCAAAAATAAATAAATAATCAGACAATTAAATAAATACACAAATAAACAAATAAATAAATACATAAACAAATAAATAAATACATAAACAAATAAATAAATACATAAACAAATAAATACATAAAAAATAAATACATAAACAAATCAATAAATACATAAACAAATAAATAAACATAACAAATCAATAAATACATAAACAAATCAATAAATACATAAACAAATAAACAAACAAACAAATAACTGGACAAACAAAGAAACGGATAAAAAAATGCATAAATCCCGTGCCACCACACCACCCGTTCAAAAAAATCCCGTTCAAAATCCCGTACAAAAATCCCGTTCAAAATCCCGTTCAAAATCCGTTCCCGTTCAAAACAAAATCCCGTTCAAATCCCGTCCTCAAAAACAAAATCCCGTTCAAAATCCGTTCAAAATCCCGTTCAAAATCCCGTTCAAAATCCGTTCAAAATCCCGTTCAAAAAAAATCCCGTTCAAAATCCCGTTCAAAATCCTATTCAAAATCCTGTTCAAAATCCCGTTCAAAATCCCGTTCAAAATCCAGTCAAAATCCGTACAAAATCCCGTTCAAAATCCCGTCAAAATCCGTTCAAAATCCGTTCAAAATCCCGTTCAAAATCCCGTACAAAATCAAAATCCCGTCAAAATTTCAAAATCCCGTACAAAATCCCGTTCAAAATCCCGTACAAAATCCCGTTCAAAAATCCGTTTCAAAATCCCGTTCAAAATCCGTTCCCGTTCAAAATCCTGTTCAAAATTTCAAAATCCTGTTCAAAATCCCGTTCAAAATCAATCCCGTTCAAAATCCTGTTCAAAATCCCGTTCAAAATCCCGTTCAAAATCCTGTTCAAATCCGTTCAAAATTTCAAAATCCTGTTCAAAATCCGTTCAAAATCCGTTCCCGTCAAAATCCCGTTCAAAATCCGTTCAAAATCTGTTCAAAATCCTGTTCAAAATCCCGTTCAAAATCCTGTTCAAAATCCCGTTCAAAAATCCTGTCAAAATCAAAATCCCGTTCAAAATCCTGTTCAAAATCCCGTTCAAAATCCTTCAAACCCGTTCAAAATCCGTTCAAAATTTCAAAATCCCGTTCAAAATCCGAACACCTCTTCTTCCCCTTTCAACTATCGAAGTCCTAATCACGGCTATCTCCACTTCCATTTATTTTTTTTTTTTTTTTGGCTTCGAGTTCCATTCGCTTCTTACGCCCGAGTCTGAATTACGTAGTATCATTTTTATATATTTAACACGATATTATTCGACGAAAATCCGTACTTTGGGGAAAAACGCGAGCGAAGCGTAATGAATCAGCGTTCAATTAGCGCAAGGCAACGCGGAAAATGAACAACCTTTGCCAAAAAACACGTATTTTTTTTTTTTCTTTTTTTTTTTTTTTTTTTTTGCATATATTTAATTTCCTTCCCCGAGAGACCGAGGGATTATATATACTTTTTTGACGAAGAAAGAATTGGACAAGTGAAAGGCTGGAGGATTTTTCTACACGGAAAAGAAATGGAGACAGAGAGAGAAGCAAGCAGGTGGATATAGAGGAAAACACTCTCTCTCTCTCTCTCATTCTCTCCTTTCTTTCTTTCCTTTTCTTTCTCACTCACTCACTCACTCACTCTCTCTCTCTCTCTCTCATTTCCTTCTTTCCTTTTCTTTCCTTCCTTTCCTTTCCTTTCCTTTCCTTCCTTCCTTCCTTCCTTTCCTTCCTTCTTCCTTCCTTTCCTTTCCTTTCCTTCCTTCCTTCCTTCCTTTCCCTTCCCTCCTTTCCTTTCCCTCCCCTCCTTTCCTTTCCCTCCCTCCTTCCTCCTCCTTCCTTCCTTTCCTTTCCTTTCCTTCCTTTCCTTTCCTTTCCCTTCCTTCCTTTCCTTTCCTTTCCTTTCCTTTCCCTTCCTTCTTTTCCTTTCCCTCCTCCTTCCTTCCCATCCCTCCTCCCTCCTCCCTTCCCTCCCTCCCTCAAAGATAAACACGCTGTGACAACCCCCGGCGCTCAGAGGGTGCTCATCGGAAACCTTTTTCTTCCCCGAAACGACGAAAAACGCACAACTAATAAAATCGCCGGACCTGTCATATCCGGTGCCGTGTTGACTCTGCCCGCGCCGGCTGAGTGATTTCCTCCTCCTGCGGCTCCGGTCTCGTTTCTCCGGTGTTTTGTCTCGCTCTCTGTTGTCTCTGTCGGTCTTACTCTTCTTTCTTTTTCTTTTTTTTTCTCTCTCTTTCCTTTTCTCTCTCTCTCTCTCTCTCTCTCTCACTCTTTCCTCGTTTATTCTTCATTTCATTCCCTCCCTCCCTTTCCCCCTGCCCAACACCCCCCAAAAGATAAACACCACACAACGACCATACTTTTAACTGGACATCCTACAACCACTGAAAAAAAAAAAAAATAAAAAAAAATAATCTCGCGCCCACGACAAATCACGTCGAGCCCGACCCCGCCCACCGCGCCCCTGTTTCCCGGGTTTCCCCACAAGGTTTCGACGCCCCCCAACCCCCAACCCCGAGGATTTCTACGGCTTCCCCCGAGGATCCCGGAGGCTCCGCTAAGGGGTCCCTCGAGCACGGGACGGATAAGCGGCTCCTCAACGACTTTCTTTATGTATATGTGTGTGTGTGTGTGTGTGTGTACGTGTACGTGAAGGGAGAGGAGAGAGAGGAGAGGAGAGAGAGGGAGGGAGAGGGAGAGGAAGAGGAAGAGGAAGGGAGGGAGGGAGGGAGAGGAGAGAGAGGAGAGGGAGGAGAGGGAGAGGAGAGGGAGGAGAGAGAGAGAGAGAGAGGGAGAGGGAGAGGGAGAGAGAGAGAGAGAGAGAAGAGAGAGAGAGAGAGAGAGAGAAAGAGAGAAAGAGAAGAGAGGAGAGAGGAGCGAGAAAGAGAGAAAGAGGAAAGAAAGAGATTCGCAAGCGCCCCCGCCCCCCGTGTCCCCAAGCCGGGCCGGCGGACACGACGAAAGGGCCGACTCCCCCGCCACGGCCGAGCGACGCCCCGGCCGCCCCCTCGGACGGAGACGCCTCCGCCCGCACGCAATCCTCTCCGCCAAACGCCCCGCCATTAGAGCAACGACCGAGCAAGATATTACACGCGCAAAATTCGCCGACCGCCCAAATGCAAATGCACCAAATCCTGGGTCCGACGGCAAGCTGATACAATTTGCATAAAAAAGGTGAGCCCTGAAAATCCCGGCCTCCCCCCCTCCCCCCCCCCCCCCGGCCGGTCCCGCAACACGCCCTCCTCCTCCGCCCGAAATCCACCAAATTTCACCAACTCTCTGTAACGACGGCTTTATCTCCATAATAAACACGTTTGTTGAAAAGTCACATGATTATAGAGTCGGGGAGGAGGGGGGGGGGGTAGGGGGGGGAAGAGGGGGGGCCAGGAAGCGCGTTCATATTTTTTTTTTTCCTTTTTTTTATCAATTAAACCTCGTTATTGCTGTGTAAAACGCGGCGCGGGGACCATTCGGATTCCAGATGCCGCCGCCGCGATACATCATGCTCCGCTTTTGTTGGACGACGATGCCGCGGAGATCAAAACCGTTCCGCTGACGTCATGGCCTTGGGCGTGACGTCAGAGGAGGAGTCAATTTCGATCTTGACATTTTGTTGCGGTCGCGTCCCCGTCCTCGCGCCACGGACGGACCGACCAACTTTTTCGCTCTCGGCGCTGCGCAAGGTCGAGAGTCGTGGCGCGGCGCGGCTCCGGTTACTTATCCCTTCTATTTATCTATATTATCATTCTTTTTGATTCTCAGGGCGGCACGAGTTTCTATAGCTCTTGCTAAGTGCATCGCTTATCTTTCGACGATGAGATGCCCCTGGGACGCCTGACGCTCGCAGTTCGGGGATATATAATATTAAGTCGGGAAATACTTTGTAAATGCAAAATCACATTCTAGAGGGACAGGAATGACTAAATTTTCGTTGGAGTCAAAGCCTTTCGCTTCACTCCCTCACAGTCTCTGTACCGCAGCACCACCGCTGCCCGGCTCGAGAACGCGTAAATAGTCCCCCGCAGCCTCCTATAAACCGCCAAGACTATCAAGATCATCCTCTCGGCCTTTTGCCTTCCTCCTCCTCCTCCTCTTCATCTCCTTCGGCTCCTCACGCCGGCAGGATCCTCCATTGCACGAGCGCCGTTGGGCATTATGCCGCTCTGCATGACGTCCTTTGCACCCGCTCGCTCCTGCATAATGAGGAACCTGTTGCGGTTCCGCCGTTGCCGCCCTTGCTGGGAGAGCCTTCGGGAACCCCGCCCGCGCCGCACGGGGTTCCCTGGCAGCCGGCAGGGTCAGCAACGCCCGTTCCACAGCAGCTCTTTTTCATTCGCGCTTCCACGCCCGACGACGAGCGCGGACTCGCATCTGCCGAGGCTCTCCCGAGTCGCATCTGCCTTGCTAAACACTCTCGCCCCCCTCCCCCCTCCCCCCCCTGCTTGTCCCCTAACCACACGCACATACCCGCACACACCCTCGAAGTGGCCGCCAAACTTTCCCCATATGTCTGAAGTCCCGAATCTCCCACAGCCAGAGAGTGCGAGCTCAAGACTCTTAAGACGACCCCGGGGTCCTCCTCGCCCCGCCCCCTCGCCCCTCGCCCCTGTGGCACCCGCGGACTTCCAAGGGCACCCATCGCTAAGTGACGTCACCACAGCGATACTACCAATGCCCCAGAGAGTTAATACATCAAACTCCAAAGCAAGGACACCTTCTACTCCGTAAAACCTTAACGAAATATCTGAAGGTACTCATGTAACATTACTCTGCCCAGCTCATATTTCTCGCTGTTAAGATACAGCTGGCTTAAGACTGCGAAGGAAACTGCACGCAAATCCACCGACATAGAACGGAGCGCAAAAAGCGTGGACCATAATCTCGATACCGATAACGACCGACACCGAGTCGATCAGAAACGAACCTCGAGTCTCTGGACGAATCGACGAACCCTCTCGACCTTCCCCCCCCCCCCAAACCACCGAAAACCAAAAGAGGAATAAAAAAAAATAAAAAAATCAACAAACCAATTACACCACTCGGGGACCGCACACGAGAGGGAAAAAAAAAGGAAACCACATCACCACCCCATTTCCTTCGCCGAGCATCGAGAGCGCGGCTGTTAATGGCGGCGGGCGGGGGGAGCGGCGACGGTGATGCATGGAAGGTGCACGAGGTAAGATATTAATGGCCGGCGAGTACAGCAGCGTCTGCCGCGCTCCTCGATTCCATAACTCATCCTCAACAGCACTTCGCACTCTCGCCTCTCTCTCTCTCTCTCTCTCTCTCTCTCTCTCTCCCTCTCCTCTCCCTCTCTCTCTCTCCTCTCCCTCTCTCCCTCCCTTCTCCTTTCTCTCTCTCTCTCACTCTCTTCTCTCTTCCTTTTCTCTCTCCCTCTTCCCTCTCCTCCTCTTCTCTCTCTCCCTCTTCCCTCTCCCTCTCTTCCTCTCTCTCTCCTCTTCCTCTTCTCCCCTCTCTCTCTCCTCTTCCTCTCTCTCCTCTTCCCCTCTCTCTCCATCTTCTCTCTCTCTCTTCCCTCTCTCTCCCTTTCCTCTCTCTCCTCTTCCTCTCTCTCCCTCTCCTCTCCTCCCCTCCCCCGCCGGCCATCATCTTCACTGCGATTATCTCTACCAAAAAAACGAAAAAAAAAAAAAATAATAAAGAGAAATGCGAGTAACCGCATAAACGATACAATTAGCACGGCGAGTCCCCAACGAAGCGATACAACATCATTACCCCCGCCCCTCCCCCACACCTCCCCCTTCCCTCCACAACCCCCTCCTCCTCCCGCCCTTCACCCTTAAATCCTATCCGGGCCCGAAAGTGTGGTCGAGTAACGCATTATTCCGGTTTTTTGGCGAAGGCCCTGCTTCCCTCCCTCCCCGCTTACCCCCACCCCACCCCACCCTCCTCCCCCCCCATCCCTCCACCATCTCCCCTTTCCCCCCCCGCCTACCTTCCCTCCCCCCCACCCCACCTTACCCACCATTCCCCTACCCCACCCCACCACCATCACTTCCCCCACCATCCCCATCCCCACCCACCTCCCCACCCCCATCCCCCACCCTACCTTCCTTCCTTCCCTATCCCCCCACCATCTCCCCATCCCCACCCTCACCCATCCCCCCACCCCGTCCTCCACCATCTCCCTTACCCCACCCTCACCCCACCATCTCCCCTTACCCCCCACCCCAGGCCGAGCGAATTCCCGACTGCGTTCGGGGCTGAAGCTGTCCTTAACGAGAAAACTCCCGAGCCTGTTGAAGTGTGTTAAAGTTAGTGTTGGTGAGTGAGGAGGAGGGAGGGAGGAGGCGAGGATGAGAGGAGGGAGAGAGGAGGGAGGAGGAGGGGGAGGGGGAGGGCGGAGGAGGAGGAGACTGAAGGCTGGGGCCAAAGGCGAGGGATGAAGAGGAGAGGAGGAGGAGGAGGAGGAGGGGAGGGGAGGGGGAGGAGGGAGGGGGGAGGAGGAGGAGGAGGAGGAGGACTGAAGGGCTGGGGCCAAGGGTGAGGATGAAGAGGAAGAGGGGGGAGGAGGAGGGAGAGGGATGAAGAGGAAGAGGAAAGGAGGAGAGGAGGAGAGGAGGGGAGAGGAGGGGAAGGAGGAGGGGAGAAGAGGAGGAGGAGGATGACTGAAGGGCTGGGGCCAAGGGCGAGGGATGAAGAGGAAGAGGGAGGAGGAGGGAGGAGGGAGAGGGAGAGGAGGAGGAGGGGGAGAGAGAAGGAGAAGGAGGTGGAGGAGGAGGAGAGGAGGTGAGAGGGGAGGGAGAGGGAGAAGGAGGTGGAGGAGGGAGGGAGGGGAGAAGGAGGGTGGAGGAGGTGGAGGAGGAGGGGGAGAAGGAGGTGGAGGAGGAGGGGAGAGGAGGTGAGGAGAGGGGAGAAGGAGGTGGAGGAGGAGGGAGAAAGGAGGTGGAGGAGGAGGGGAGAAGGAGGTGGAAGGAGGAGGGGAGAAGGAGGTGGAGGAGGAGGGGAGAAAGGAGGTGGAGGAGGAGGGGAGGAGGAGGGGAGAAGGAGGTGGAGGAGGAGGGATGAGGGGGAGGAGGAGGAGGAGGGGGAGGGGAGGAGGAAGGAGGAGGAGGATAGGGAGGATAGGAGAGGAGGAGGAGGAGGATAGGAGGAGGAGGAGGAGGAGGAGAGAGGAGGACTCAAAGGCTGGGGCTAAGGGGGAGGGTGAGGAGGCGGAGGAGAAAAGAAGAGAGGAGGAAGAAGAAAAGGAAGGGGGGGGGGGGCGTGGAGGAGGAAAGAGAGGGAGGAGGTGGTGGAAGCGGAGGTACCAGTGGTTACGGTGGCGATGGAAGTGTGGAGGCGGAGGAAGGAAGAGAGAGGGAGAAAAGGAAAGAATAAAGAAGGGGATAGTAAGAGGCCAAAAAAGCGGCAAGATGAAAGGTCACTGAAGCAGACGCAAGTGGAATAATGGCGAGAGGGAAAAAAGGAGGAGAAGCAGTAGGAATAATGAAGAAAGACAAGGGAAACTGGACAGATAAGGATATAAAAAAAGAGAAGAAGAACAGAAGAGAGAAAGGGGATGATAAAGGGAAGATAAAATAAGAGATGAGAATGAGAATAAGGGTAAAATAATAATAATAATAATAATAATAATAATAATAATAATAATAATAATAATAATAATAATAATAACAATAATATAATGAATAAAATAAAAGGTGCAGGTGATAATGACGTCACGAAACGGGGATGTGAAGAAAAAAAGAGGAGAAAAAGAGACACAGGTAGCGAAGAGCGGAGATCCCAGAAGAAAAAGAAAGAAGAACACGAGGACCCGAGGAGTCTCTTCAGCGCCGAGAAGCGATGAGCGGCCTCGCAAATCACGCTGCAAAATAAAAAAAATTACCCCCGTTGCTAAAACACCGGTGTAAGCTCGGTCGTTAATGGCTCCTCGTCTCGCGATCGTGATTAGGCCGTCCCAAAAATGACCCGACGAAGGATAAGGCAGCAAAATTGTTCGTATATTTCAACGTGGGAGCGAAAGGTTCAGACTAAAAATATTGCAAACTGTCAATTTTTTTTTTTACTTGCTTACCGGTACTTTTCGCAATATTTTCATAAACTACCCACCCTTTGCCCTTTAACCTCTCAATAACAGCATATTGCCAGCGAACGTGTCAATCACATCCAAAATTGGTGCAATGGCGTACGAATAATCGCACATTATTTCCCGCTGGGTGCCATGCGTCAGCCATTGCTTCCGTGCACGCAATCACCAGGTGGCTCGCGCATGAACAACCGCCTCTGCTGAACCTCGACAACGAATGCCCCGGCGCCTGCACTCCCATTCCCCCCCCCCCTCCCTCCACGCCCCAGAGAGCCATCGCAAACTCCCCGCCCGGCCCTTCGTCTCGCAATCGACGCAATAGCATGCTCGTGGCCCCGAAGCTCGACCCGAACGGTGAAGCTGCAGCCGACAGGGAATTCGGCCGAGTACTGTGCATCGGGAGGGGCGGCCGGCACGTCGTCGCCGCCCTGGCTCGCCCGCCGCTGGGAGGTAGAGGCTATCCTGGCGCTGGCGGCGATGAGCCACGCCCTCGAGCGGGGTTTCGATGAGGGCAATGGGCGAGGGATACATCTTGGAGATACGAATCCTTGGTTAGGCCAACTCGTACTCTTAGCTTCACCGCAACGAGCTGATTCACTACAGCAACTGCGGCGGGCCTTCCTTGGCGAAACTCTACGGTCCGGGCCTCTCGCGTTTCACTTACTCCCCGGCGACCGCTCGCCGCCCCTCTGCCTCTTCGCCCCCCCCCCCCTCTCTTCCTACGCAGGTTCTGCCAAGTCTGGCCCAGTAATTAGGGCCCAGACGAACCTCATAAATTTTCCGGGGCAGCAAGGGCCTCCTCGCCCGTGACGCCGCGTGCCGCTCTGCAACAGCGTGATAAACACTTTCCCTGCTGGGAGGGAATGGCTCGCTGCCAACGGCTGCTCCCGACCGAAGGCGTATTCATCATACGCTGCGATACGAAACAATTCATTACGCCGACAAGATTGCCTGTTTAATTTCCAAATAAAATCACAACGCGTCGTGTGGCTCTGCAACCCGACTACAATTCCGCTTTTAATCAATTCAATTAGGAAAGATATAGAGCAATTTTATATTGTCGAAGTGGAAAATTGCATTTTCATTTTTCACGCGTAATAAATCCACATCAGAATAACAAATCACTCCAATCTTTAAATCGTGCGTGAAAAAAATAATGAAACTACAAAAAGGAAAAAAATCATGACTTGTTATGAGTGACAACAGTAATTAAAGCGATAATGCAGCCTACTTTGTTCTATGATTCAATTAAGTATTCCGCCAAACTGGCATATGAGCAAGGCATAATTAATTCTTTATCTCCCTTCTCTATCATGCTTTTCCGCCTCTTTATCCCTCCCTAAATTTCCGAGGCCATTTTTCCTTTCTCTCCTGGGTTTCTCTTTTTCTCTCTCTCTCCGTCTCCGCGTCTCCCTCTCTCCCTTTGTTTATAAATATCATCCCTCCATCCCTCGTCCTCATCATAATCTTATCCCATCCCTCCCCCTTCCTATCAGGCACACCATACCGACCCCTTCCCTTCCTTCCCTTACCCTTTCCTACCCCTTCCCCTTCCCCCTTCCCATTCCCTTCCCACCCTTCTTCCCTTCCCTTCCCCTTCCCATTCCCCTTTCCTACCCCTTCCCTTCCCATTCCCTCCCCTTCCCCTTTCCCACCCCTTCCCATTCCCCCCCTCCCCCACCCTTCTACCCTTCATCTTGGCCGGAGTCTCTCCCTGTCAGCCAATCCATCGCCCAAATTCCCCGTCGGGCGGTCGCTCCATCGCGGCCCCTTTTAAAGCCGCGTTGTCTGCTGGCGGCTCCCTTAACTCCCCATTCGCCGAGTCGTAAGTCTCTCCCCGCAGCCCCATCGTGTCGTTCGCGGGCGTCGCAGAGGGGCGCTGGGGTCTGTGTGGGGCGCGAAGGGCGTGCTTGGCTGCATGTTGCGGGCGTCGCTTGCATGCCGCAGGTTGTGATTCATATTCGGATTGTAAATTCTCTCTATCGCTTTTTCATGCTATGCCTTTTTCCCTATTTTCCACGTCTTCCATGTCTAACGGGTGATTACCGAGCCATCTCTCTAACGCTTCTTTCTGCTATGCCTTTTACTTATTTTCCTTTCTTCAGTGTCTTACGGGTGATTACCGAGCCATCTCTCTAACGCTTCTTTCTGCTATGCCTTTTACCTATTTCCCTTTCTTCAGTCTTACGGGTGACTACCGAGCCTCCCACGACGACCCGACGCACGCGCACAAACGAGGACCAAACAAGGGGACAGCGCCGAGCAGAAGTCCGGCCGAGTAGTCCGAGGACGATCGCCGCAAGGAACCGCGGAGCGTCCCGGGATCTGAAGCCTGGAGCCTGGAACGGAAAACTTTTTTTTTCCCCTTCTTTCCGATCCAAGACGCCTGGTATTTTACGTTTAAAAAGAGTGAGAAAGGGAGAATCGTGACAAAAAAACCGAACGTCCAGACGATACTGTCAGTGAAGAAGCAAACATCGATGTCCTCTCTTCCCTTCTATCTCCACCCAGTCCCTCACCCGCCTGCATATCTTATCTTCCTTCCTTCCTTCCCTTTCCCTCCCTCCGCTTTCTCCTTTTCCACCCACCTCTCTCTCTCTCTCTCCCGACCACACCCTGCAAAAGCCCCGCTCCTGCCCTCCCTCCCCTCCGCCTTCCCTCCCCAACAAGAGAGTGCAATCCCTGACGGCGCCCTCGACCCCAAATCCTCCGCGTCCAGACCGAGCCGGGAACACGCAAAACGTCTCAGCCAATTGCGGAGTTGACGCCCGGGAGAATGAGCTCGCGGGGATCGGGGCGAGGACGCGGCTTCTGCATAGCGGGCCGCGCTGCTCGTTCGGAAAAGGAAGGCAGGGAGGATTCCGAGAAAAGGGAGAAAAGGGAGGAGAGGATAATGAAGGGAGGGATGGAGGGAGAGAGAGAAAGAGATAGAGGGAGAGAGAGAGAAACAAGAGAGGGAGGGAGGGAGAGGGAGAGAGTCAAAGAAGGGAACGAGAAGGAAGGCTAAGGGAGGAACCTAGATAACTTTAAGGGAGAGCATACGGGGAGCGCGGGGGGGGGGGGCGAGGGATCACAACACCATAACGTTTAACCGGCGAGGGGAAATATCGGCGGTGATTAAGAGACTACAGCACCCCCCCCCCCCCGGCCCAACGAGAGCGTTCGAAAGCCTTCCAGAAGCAATAAGACTCAGGAAACACATGTGGGGATCGCCGACGGAGAGCTTCGTAATCCCCACGTCAAGTTTACAACAATTTGTGCTGATCGCCAGGGCTACGCCGGGGCCTCTCGGTCAGGGTCTCGGCCAGGGCGCGTCCGAGGCAGCCTTCAGCGCGCGAGGGGAGCCCGTGCATTTAAAACCCTCGTTCCACCCGCGGGCGTAAACACATCGGCATCAAAAGATAATTCATCTTAAACTGCAACACGCAAAAAAAAAAAACTTCTCTTCCTTCCTTGCAATTCTTCTTCGTCGAGCGAATCGCCGCAATCCTCAATTACATCCCCCAGAAATCCCTGTAAAGGATATTTACTTGCGATAACGCGCTCTGCATCATCTCTCCGCCCAGGCGCCGCGGGATCCTATTAGGCGAAGAATATCCCATTAGACAAACGGCTCCCTCGCTTCCGGACGCGGCGGCGAGGGAAGTCGCTTGATCTGCCGAAGGAGAAGGATCCCACGGCGGCAAAGAACGGCGGCGGCGGCGGCGGCGGCGGCGTGGGAGTGAAATACACACCGCGTAATGATCTGAAACGCGGCCAAGCCTCCCCTAATGGGACACTAAATCCGCATATAGACCTAATTATTCCGGGACGGATGGCGGGCCGGGCGTGTACACAGCGCTCGGGGAAGAGCCTTCCGACATCAAACACGGCAAGGGCATTCCTGCGGGGAAGTGGACTATATATTGCGGCATAGTTGGCCCACCGACGCTTGAACAGCCATTGCAGCGAACGCACAAACGCGACCTCGACAGCAGAGCGCCGGATTTCGGACACCGTTCCCGTCCCAGGCGCCCTTGCCCTCAAACGAAAACCTCGTCCCCGAACAAAGTGGCAGCTAATCCGGCCGCCCGACCCGCCCCTTCCCTCCGTCGGGCGAGAGCAAAGGGAAGCGCCCTCCGCGCCCGCAATTCCCGAGCCACACGGATACCCTTTGCCCTCGCCCCTCGGGTGCCCACTCAGCCGCCTCCTCATCTCCGCCTTCGCGGTGCGCGGCGCCACTCGACGCCCCTCCAGCCGCCGCTCGCGAGCGTCCCGAGCGGCGGCGAGCAAACAGAAGCCCAAAGGAGAAAGGAGAGAGAGTGCGCCTCTCCTCGCGAGAAAGACCGAAGCTGAACGCCGAGGGCGGCCCGCCCGTCGACGCCGCGGCTCGGGACCGGAATTCAATAGAGTCCCTCGCCGGCCGCCCATCGACCGCTGACGAGGCACTCACTCTCCCGCGCCGTACTCCCGCGGCGCTCCTTCACGCCCGCTCGCTTCACTACGCTTCTCGGCCTCGCCTCGCCCGCGCCGCGCCTCCCGTTCATCCGCCTCTCCTCCCCGGCCGCCTCGCTTCGCCCGCGCCGCGCCCTCGCTTCGCCGGGGGTCAGGACGCTCTCCTCCTCCTGCCCTCGCGCCCCTTGGACGCTGCCACCGCCCGCGAGCCCTTTGGCCCTCGCGAGCAGTCTGCGGCGCCCGCTTCCCTTCGCCGCCCGTCCCATCCCACGCCCGCCACCGGCAGAGGCGCCTCAAAAGCAAAGCGAAAGAAAGAAGAGACGCTGCCAAGAGCCCTTCACCGGAGGCGCTCATCAGCGTTCCTCCCCGTCTCACGGCGCCGCTTGACCTCAAATTCGCCGAAGGGAAAGAAAGAAAGAAAGGAAAAAACCCTCCCCACGAGCCCCTCCGCACGCCCTTCCCGCCCTCTCCTCTCGCGCCGCCCGTCCCCTCGGCGCCGCCCTCCCCCGCGAGCGCCGAGGTGAGCCCGACGTCCTCGCGACACCGACAACGGCCGCGCGTCCTTTCATCCGAGGGTTAAATTGGCCATCCCGGACAATTTACGGCCGCGCAATAAAAGGCCATCCGTGTCGAGGGCGCGGCGGGCCTCTCATCTGCGGGCGAGGACGGGCGCTCCGCTCCTGCCGCCGCGCCCGCCCCTTTGGTCTCCGGCGCACGCCTCTGCTCTCTCCTCGCCTTCATCTTCCATTCTTCCTTTCTTCCTACTCCTTTTGCATCTCTTTCTTCCTCCCTCTTTGTCTACTCTATTCTTCCATTCTTCTTTATCCTCCTAATATCCTTTGAGCTTTACTTGTCCATCTTACTCCTCTTCTCCTCCTCCTCCTCTCTCCCTTTTCCTTTCCTTCCCATCTTCTCCTTCTCCTTCCATTTCCCTCTCCCTTCTCCCTTTTCCTTTCCTTCCCCATTTCTCCTTCTCCTTTCCCTCTCCCTTCTCCCTTCCACTCCCACTTCCCTCTCTCCTCTCCTCCTTTTTTCCTCCCTTCTCCCCTTACCACTCCCACATCCCCTTCCTCCCTCTCCCTCCCTACCCCCTTTTCCCAATCCTCCCTTTCTTCCCTCCCCTCCCCCCCCCCCCACCCCACGCCCACCGTTTCAGTCATCGCCTCCCGCGCCCGGATCCCTTGGCCGGTCATGTTGCGGTGGGCGGCCGCTGCCTCATTTAATCAAGGGGAGGAGGAGGAAGTGAGGGGAGGTGGGGAGGGTGGGAGGAAGTGAGGGGAGGCGGGGAGGAGGGAGGGAAAGGAGGACGGTGGGGAAAAGGGGAGGGAGGAAGTGAAGGCTGGTGGGAGGAGAGGAGGGGAGGGAGGAAGAGGAGAGAGGGAGGAGGAACGGATAGAGGAAGGAGAAGGGAGAAAAGTAAAAGAAGAAGAAAAGGAGATGGAAGAGAAAACGTGAAGTAATGAAAATGAGAGAGAAGAGAGAGAGAGAGAGAGAGAGAAGGAGAGAGAGAGAGAGAGAGAGAGAGAGAGAGAGAGAGAGAGAGAGAGAGAGAGAGAGAGAGAGAGAGAGAGAGAGAGAGAGAGAGAGAAAGAAAGAAAGAAAGAAAGAAAAGAAAAAGAGAAGACAGAAAGAGAGAGACTGCCTGGCTGCCGCATCTGAATAGTGCACTTCAGACAAAACAAAAAAAAAGAGTGAAGGGAAATGAAAGGCAAATAAAGGGGTGCGATTGAAGGCAGAAGATGAGGAGGAAAAGGAGGGGAAAGAGGAGGAGGTGAAGTGAGAGCGGGGGGGGGGGAGAAAGGGAAAATGAAAAACAGGAATAACAAACAACGACGTTTAGAGTGGATGCAAAGCCGAGAACGGAATGGAGGAAGGGAGGAAAGGAAAAAGGGAGGGAGGGAGGGAGGGAAGAGGAGGGAAGGGGATGATAGAGAGAGAGAGGAGAGAGAGAGAGAGAGAGAGAGAGAGAGAGAGAGAGAAGAGAGAGAGAGAGAGAGAGAGAAGAGAGAGAGAGAGAGAAGAGATTAAGACAGAGAGAGAGAAATTAAGACAGAGAGAGAGAGAGATTAAGACAGAAAGAGAGAGAGAAAAATCAAAACAGAAAGAGAACTTACGAAAGAAAGAGAAAGAGATGAAAGGAACCGAGAGACAGACAGAGAGACAAAGCGATTCCAAAAAGAAGGAGGCAGATGAAAGGGGGACAGGGGACAGGGGGCGCAGGGGGGCCAGAGGAGCGACACCCCCCCCCCCCCCGGCGTTCCCGCGTAGCCCACACTAATGGTTATGCAAATAGCCAGTTACACAGGCGGCG